CGTGAGGTTAAAAATAATAATAAATAAATAAATAAAATCAAAATTTTGAGATGGAAGACAAAAGATACAGGAGAAAGAGTTCTTTCTGTGTTCATCAGGAAGAAAAAAAGCCAAAACAAAACAAAACAAAAAAACACATAAGCATCATCCTGTAATATATAATTTCCTCCACATTGTTATTGCCAACGCTAGAATCTGTTTCTAAACTACTCCAATTGTATTTTTTATTAAACAAACCAATTCTTTTCTGAGCTATAAGAAATAGTAATGGATATACAATTGATATGCTGAATAATTGGGGAAATGTATCCACTCCTCACAATTCCACCATTAACTTTGGAAAAGGCCATTAACTTAATTGAAGTGATTCCGATGATTCCTGTCTCGTGAAGAATGGCCTTATGATATCCTTTCTCTATATTGTAAAGAATAGATATTTTTATGGGAGGAAATGTGGGAGAAGAAAACAAATTCTGAAGTGTAGAATTATAATTGAGCTTAAAAAGCTGTGAATATGATTAAGATGGTGTATCGAGGTAGAAACAGGGTACCAGAAAGAGAAGGAATACACTTGGGGCTTTCAAAGAAGGTCGAGCCAGTGTGCCTGTATCCTCTCTGCCACAAGTTGACCCTGCAGATTGATAATAGGTTTCAGAAATTATGCTCACGAAATACTTCTTCTGAAGTAGATTGTACACATGTGCACACACACAACAACAACAATAAATAACTTCTAAAGGACAAGGATATCTATAACAAACATTTAATCAACATTTTCCAATCTTCTTCTTCACAACTATCTTCAAAATTTTATATCAGGAACAACTCTAATAAAGTGAGTACCAGATGTAAGAAAGAGTTAGACTATTTTTCCATATTTGAAGAGAGGCCCTTCTCAGTAAACTAACAACAATCAGAGTTAATTTTCCTTCTGGAAAAAAACTTCTTTTAAAAGAGAGAGAAGGAGGTAGGGAGGGAGGAAAAGAGGGGAGGAAGAAAGAGAGATTAAAACAAAGTAGTACTTATAAAGGAATAATATTCTCCAGAGAAAAAAGACATGAGATTTGTAATTAAAATGTACTTAATTAATAGCTAGGCAAACCACTCTCATTAGGATTTCATTGTAATGCTTGAACAGTCAAAAGGGAGTGATTACAAAGAAGCAGGGTCCTTGTCTCCTTCCTGGGAGCTTCACAAACTTTGCCAGGGACATCTCAAGAGACTTCTCTCCACCACTCTCCTTTTTGTTACCCTTTTAACTGAAAAGAATGCACTGAAATGAAAATTTAATGTTCCCCTTTGCTTCCTCCCTACCAACACTTACTACTGATTTTAAAATTAAGGTTCTCAAAAAGTCATAGCCCTTCCTTACTTTGGTTTCTAGAATTGTAGAAGCTCATAATACATTCATTTAGGGCTGTGTACTTGTGTAAACAACAGAAATCAGCACTTATGGACTTAATCAGGAAATGGAGTTGGTCAAAAGCAGATAAGATACCAGTCAATGGACAGAGAGCTTGAAGAACCAGACTTCAGCAGGATCCAGTGGCGGCATGAGCAACCAGGAGGGAACCTCAAGATCAGTCTGCCTCGGACCCTGCTGTTCACCACCTGGGCACATATTACCCCTGGTGACACTGTCAGCAACCACAACCATCATGCCACTAACTTTTCCACTTAATAGTGGCCCATGTGATGGTGGATCTGAGCCATCCCCTCAAGATGCAATGTCCTGGCTGGAAGCATCAGATCGACCATACTGATGTCTAACTGCCAGAAAGGTGTGCAGAGGGGATATCTGTCCCCTGTGGCTTTCCTGGTGGAAGGCTGGGCCCTTTCCTACCTACCCGAAAACTCCGCCAAAACAGAAGAGTACTGCATACTGACCAACCAACCAACCTTCCACATCCTACCTTCCTTGAGTTTACATCCATCTCACTATTCCTAGGGTTACATTCCCAAGGAATGGAGTGACAGTAATAGAAGTTAAAAAAAAAAAAAGACATACAGAGTACCTGTCTTATTGAAATGTCTGGCTGAATGAGTATCAAACCTAGTGTCTTAGTCCATTCAGGGTGCTATAACAGAATGCAATAAACTGGGTGGCTTATAAACAGAAACTTCTCACAGTTCTGGAATCTGGGATCTGGGAAGTCTAAATCAAGTCACCAGCAGAGTCAGTGTCTGGTAAAGGCCCACTCCCTGGTTCACAGATGGTCTTCTGCCTGTGTCCTCATGGTAAAAGGGGCAAGGGAGCTCTCTGGGGTTTATATTATTTGGGCACTAATCCCATTTGTGAGGGTTCCACTGTCATGACCTAATCAAAGGCCCAGTCCTAATACCATCTCTTTAAGGATTAAGAGTTGGAATTTCAAGGTAAGAATTTGGAGGAGCCTTGGCCGGTTTGGCTCAGCAGTTAGAGTGTCGGCCTGCAAACCAGAGAGTCCCAGGTTCAGTTCCTGCCAAGGGCACGTACGTTAGTTGCAGTTTGTCCCCGGCCCTGTTGGGGTCGTGTGGGTGGCAACCAGTCTGTGCGTCTCTCTCACATTGTTGTTTCTCTCTCTCTTTCCCTCTCTCTCTTCCTCCTGCTCTATCTGAAGATAATGCAAAAATGTCCTCAGGTGAGGATAAAAAAAAAAAAAGAATTTGGAGGAAACACAAATATTCATACCATAGCACCTAGGCTCACTCACAGAGGAGGAGGTAAGAACTAAAACCAAATACATTCCTTTCTTAGTCCTAAGCAATTTTGGGTCAAAGTTTAAGTGCTTGCTTTATTGCTAAATGAATTTGAAACCAGGCAAAAATAATTTAGTTACTTGCTCCAGGGAATGCTTGCTCTTGGCATGTAAAACTGTTATCCAACTAAAACAGTGTATTTATCAAGACTAACAGTTTATTCATCAAGGCTCACCTTAAGACCCTCATTTCACTTCAAGACCCCATAATCCAAAGCTACTAAACCCTGAAATTCTGCTCAATCCCAGCCATTTTTCTACCTAGCAAGACCAGGCTTTACAACCTTATACATATATTTTCTTTACTTCTCACTTCTGAAATGTTTCTAAGTTTAAAGGCGATGTTTACTTCAGTGAAACTAATATTTAGTTTTGCTTGATCAATAGGTTCTGTTGATGATCTCTTGGGAGAGTTGGCTGCCAACAGAGGCATGGTTACCTCAATGATCAGAAGAACTCTGAAAGGACCAACTTCCCCACCGCCCTCATATGTGTCAAAGTTTCTATTGAATTACATGTAAGAAACAAAATCCTGTGAATTTTATTTTTATCTATTCATAAATATACTTCCAGCACCTAAAACTGTGTGTGTCATATACCAAAGGCTCAATAGATGCTTGGAAGAATGAAACTGAAAATAAAAACTGGAAAGTATTATCCTAAATGAAACAAGTCAAGCAGAAAAAGACAATTACCACATGATCTCACTTATTTGTGGAATATAATGAACATAACAGTCTGAGTAATAGGGTAGACCCAGAGACATGGAAGTAGGGTACAGACTGACAACCCTCAGAAGATGGGGTGGTGGGGGGAGGGAAGAGATAAACCACAGAACTTATATGCATGTACGCATAACCAATGGATACAGACAACAAAGCTGGGGATGGGGAGGAGGGTGTCAATGGGGAAAAAAAGGAAAAACATCTGTAACAAAAATAAAATAATAAAAATAAATTTAAAAAAATAATAATAAACAAAAAATAAAAAGTAAAAAAAATAAATATAAATAAAAATAATAAAAGAAAAAGAAAAAAAACACGAATGTAATTTTTATATAGTTGTACTGATTGCACAAACACATAATCTAATTAGTAGAAATCAAGATGAGAGAAGAAAAAGAATCACAATCTTATTATTAAAAAAAAACAAAACAAATTATTTTCATATTGCTTTCCAGTTCTTAGCCACGTACAGGCATGCATTTTGCAGTGCTGTAACTTTAACATGGATATACTCATGTATGTTTGTTTTTCTTCCCAAAAGGTCCCAAGTACTTCTGTGTTTCCATATAGTTATTTAATGATCATTGTATTGACTAGATAATGGTGCATGGATGTGAATTTTCATCATCATCCATTCACTGTTGCCAAATGAAAAGTATGTATTTCACTGAGAGGGTTTTATAGGAACACTTAATAGACCTAAAATCATTAGCCCTCACCTCAGTTTTCTTCAGGAGATAGTAAACAAAACATACCAGACATCATAAATCAAAATAAGATTTGAGTTCTGGTCTTTATTTGTTGTAATAATCCTCTGCAAATCAATTAAACTTTATATTTCTTCTTAAGACCAAGGAAGCTCTCTCTGCTTGGGTCTCAGTAGTGTATAATTAATACCCTTTGCTAAGGCATTTTACAAATATGATGTACTCCACAGTTGATAAATTGTAGTCACAAATACTTATTTCACATAGTGAGGATTTTTTTTAATGACCTTCACAAAGTCACAGAAATGACCAGAATAAGGAAATTGAATTTTCAGAGGCATCATAAGATTTTTAGTTCCAGGTCTCAACAATGCAACTCTATCAAATACTTTTAAATTCAAATTAGCATGAACACAGTTTGCTGTAAAGATGAAGTCTGCAAATAATATGCTCCATCCACATTGAGGGAAGAGACCATATGCAGGTGTCTTAGGGTCACATGTACTAGGGTCACATTAGTAGCCCAACAGTTGCGGAAGAAACTCTTCTACAAATAGAATTTGTCTATGTAGAATTCAGCTTTATTCTAGACTTTTCAGCTACAATTGGCAGCACAATAAACTGGATTAACATTTGAATCCCAGAAATAGTATGTAAGAATATTTAAGAAAGTAGTGTTAACTAATAAAGAAAATTCTTTTTAAAAACCATGCATATGCTAATTTAAAATACCTAAGTTGTTATCACAATTGGCCAAATAATTAGAGTTAAATACAGAAAAAAAAGTTCTTTAAAATAGAATTATACTCTGACTAAAAAAATAATGCACATTATAAAACATAAGATACTTCTCCATTTTCCACAGCTTCAATAAATTTAGGATACAGCTGAGTAACTTGAAAGATACAAAATTCTCCAAACGCCAGATGCTGCTGCTGTTTCCCATAGTTGATGAAAGTACTAGGAACAAGGAATACCAATGTGGACCTGTTTATTGTGACTGGAACACCCTCAGGGCCGTTCTGAAAGACCTACTAACTAGGCCCCACTTCCCTCTCCCTGAATCTGTCTGGGAGGGAAAATGTTTTGGAATTCAGCTATAATAACTTTATCTTAGAGAACCTCCTGAGATGGATTATCCCTCTGTTTTGTGTCCTTCCAGTTCCTTATCTCCACATTGCTCTATGATTTCTTTCCCCTGTCCAGACTCCCCCTCTCATTCTTCTCACATTTGTCAGTTAGGTCTTCTAGAACCCTGTTCCATGGTAAATAGACTTGCATTCATCCTCAGCCTGGACCGTGAACAGTCACCCCACATCCCGCCTTCGCTCAAACTCGGCTCTTGTTGTCTCCCACCTCCCCCAGGGCAGTGCAGGGCGCTCTAGTTCCCAGTGCCTTGAGCCTCCTCCCCAGGTGAGGCCGTGCTCTCCGGGTTCTCACAGTGACCTGCTGGCCATCACTCTTCTGCCCTCTTGTAAAGCTTCTCCTCTGACATCCATGCCAGTCACCTCTACTTTGTCACTGACTTCTGCCAGTCTCCCCAGTCACTGTGACCTGTGAATTGAAAATTGTTATCACCTTGACATTTTGAGTCCTGCTGCTCTCCTGAGCGACTTCAATGTTGATGTGGAGGAGCACCTCGTGCTCAAAATTTTCATTTCTCAAACATTTCTTTTCCACTGTATTCAACTTCTTCCCTGTCAACCCCTTCCTTCTTGAAAACACTCTTAATGACCTCTAACACTTACATCTTAAGGTTTAAATGTCCTCTCCTCCAAATATGACCACGTATCTTTTCAGCTTGTTCAGCTATTCTACTTTCATTTGTTTGACAGCATAGAGACTTCTAAAGACCTGGAGACCTCTTACTATTTGTACCTTCTTGTATTCAGTCACCTCCATACCCAGCTTAGTTATCCCAATTCATCACTTCTTTTACTATATACTATCAAATCCCTTTCACTATTTTTCTTACATGGTACCCTCACTTTCCGATTTGGGATCAAACTGTTTGCCTTCTTGGTGCCTGTATCTTGGCTCCTCACACTACTGAAGAATATTCCAAAACCTCACATATTGGATACACAAAAGTAATGGTAATTATTATTGATCATACCATCAATATGACCTCTTGGTCCAGCCATGCTTAGCACTTTTCAGTTATTTTTAATGCAGATACTGTGCTTTCTCTTGTCCCTAGAGTTTGCCCCTGCTGTTCCCTCTGCTGGGTACCATGTTCTTTGAGGTCTCAGCGCAGGTGACGGTTCCTCACAAGCCTATATCAGTTTGCCCTCCAATGATAACACATTACTTCCTATGTTCGCAGTTATATTTGTACATTATATCTATGAAACAGGATTGTAGTTGCCTGGTTTGTTGCTCCTGTGACTTACTGGGTTCTAAACTCTAAAGGAAGAGACTATGTTGGCTTGTTGAGATCTGCAGCTCCAGCTCACAGCTCAGTATATAGCAAATGCCAGACACCACTTGTTGGATTAATGTAGAAGTGTTCTTATACATTAACTTGATTCTGTAATGCAAGTGGAAATATATGGCTTCAAGAAATAAGGTTAATCTGAATTAAATAATATTGGAGAAATAAGAAAGCCAAAGGCACATGTTAACTGGGGCACAAAAAAGTTGATGGGAGAGTAAAGAGGAAGAATACTCCTAAAATATATGACAAAAATGGGGGGGGGGGGAGTTCCAGAAAGAGAAAAGTAAATTGTGAAGTATAATAGTTATGTATTCTAAAGTTCATATTCTAAGTCTTATTTGTATATTATAAATTATATATTTGAAATTCTTTTTATTTATGTATGCCAAAGTTTTGAATTTCTATGTATAGCTACCACATAACAAGGTGTGTGTATGTGTGTATATATATATTTATTATAACATTTAAAATTACTCACAAACCCGCTGGTGTGACTCAGTGGTCAAGCACTGACCCATGCACCAAAGGGTCGCCAGTTCAATTCCCGGTCAGGGCACATGCCCAGGTTGTGGGCCTGATCCCCAGTGTGGGGCATGCAGGAGGCAGCCAGGTGATGTTCTCTCTCATCATCGATATTTCAATCTCTCTCTCCCTTTCCCTTCCTTTCTCTCTAAAATCAATAAAGAAAAGTTATTAAAGAATTACTTATAATTTTTTAGGATCACATCAGAATAAAAGTCAGAACACCTATTTGGAAATGTGGACAAAGGTCCGTCTCACCTTTCCCGGGCTCAGAGCCACCAACTTTAGTGTAAATGATGCTAATCCATCAAATAGTCAATCCAGTTATGTTAAATAAATGACATAAAACAACTTAGCTATGTGGCATACTATTTTGATTGAATTCCATAGATTTAGAACAGGTCTAAAATTGCCTGGCTCCACCTAATTCCTTTCAAGTGAATTGAAGATTCTAAACAACTGTGAAAGATAAGCCTGGTAAATGATACCTCAACCCTCAATTGTTAGAAAGAATTCTAACCAGCTAGCCAGGATTTTCTTCAAAAGAAAAAAAAATGTTTGACACAGGAGGTTATATATTTTTTTATACTTCCTTTTCTGTATATAACTTTACTTTAAAGAAATCTCTGCCATTTTGTAGTGCTCATCTGTAGAGAAAAAAGATTTGATAACTTCATCCTTTCCTGAATTTCAGCTGAACACATTTTCTTTGTTTCAGATGTCTTAAAGTAATATAGCTTGGTCAATATTAAATTTGATTCAGCAAATATATTTATGCAGCACATAATAATGAAATAAAAACCACTCAGTCAGTATGCTTTCACCTCCGTTTTTTTCATAAACATAGTATTATTGCAAGACAGAAGAACATGACTTCTAAATACATGTAAATTCTCCCTAAAACTTCGGAGATGAATAATTCTGGGTTACATAAGGATGATCAAACAAGGCAGTGATTGGGGGGGTAACGGGGGGACACTATCTGAGGAGCTGAAAAATTATGATTCCCAGATGAAAATAATTAAAATTTTTTTTCGGCTCTGCACTGTGCCACAGTATCGTGTTCTTTGGTCCCTTTTCATAACAAAATAAATGCTTCACAGGGCTCATTTTCAGAACATATGAAACTCCCAACTAACCTATACTATTATTCAGGTAGGGTTGGCATCATGAAGATTTGGAAACAGGTATTAGATGTTCTGGCATGGTAATTGCACAAGCTGTCATTCTCTTCAGTGTTTTTAAAAACATGGGAGCCTGGTGTTTGTTTAGTGACATGCAGCTAGAGAGTAAAATATTGTGGTTTTTTTTATCAGTTCATTCAGGGTATCTTCAATTAGGATGCTAGGAAGTACCATGAGAAAAAAATTAAACTACAGTCACCTGAAAGAGAAATTGGAGTTTAATAATTATCTTATTGTTTTGTAAATTTAGGGCATGAGAGATATCATAAAGCAGAGATTTTATGACATATGATGAAAAACAGTCAGTACTGTTTAGCTGTTTATATTAGATTAGCTTAGTGAATTACTACTGATTCTGGAAATAAGATGTCATTTGGTAAAGAATACATAGTGAAGATAAAGTGTTCCATTATGCCTGGAGTCTAATTTCAATCTTAAAAAAATCACAAATTTCAAGGCAAACATAAAACCACATTAATAAAATCAGAGTAAAAGCTTTGTCATTTTTGTGAAGAAGTTTCAACAAATACTATGTCCATAAATTGGACTTAAATAAAAGTCAAAGGAATCCAGTTTCTTTCTTCTTTCTTTCTTTCTTTCTTTCTTTCTTTCTTTCTTTCTTTCTTTCTTTCTTTCTTTCTTTCTTTCTTTTTTAATTTTATTTTTGTTACAGATGTTTCTCCTTTTTTACCCCATTGACACCTTCCTCCCCGCCCCATCCCCGGCTTTGTTGTCCATGTCCATTGGTTATACATACATGCATATAAGTTCTGTGGTTTATCTCTTCCCATTCCCCACTAACCCCTCTTCTGAGGGTTGTCAGTCTGTACCCTACTTCCGTGTTTCTGGGTCTACCCTATTCCTCAGACTGTTATATTCATTTTATTCTATATTTAAGTGAGATCATGTGGTATTTGTCTTTTTCTGCTTGGCTTGTTTCACTTAGGATAATACTTTCTAGGTCCCTCCATGTCATCTCAAAGGATAAGAGATCTTTCTTTCTTACAGCTGCATAGTACTCCATTGTGTATATGTACCAGCTTTTTTATCCATTCGTATACTGATGGACACTTGGGCTGTTTCCAGATCTTCGCTTTTGTAAATAGTGCTGCTATGAACATAGGGGTACATATATTCTTCCTGATTGGTGTTTCAGGCTTCTTAGGGTATATTCCTAGAATCGGGATCACTGGGTCAAATGAAAGTTCAATTTTTAATTTTCTGAGGTAACACCATATTGTTTTCCATAGTGGCTGCACCAGTCTGCATTCCCATCAGCAGTGTATTAGAGTCCCCTTTTCTCCACACCCTCGCCAGCACTTGTTTGATGATTTGTTGATGGCAGCCATTCTGACAGGTGTGAGGTGATACCTCATTGTTGTTTTAATTTGCATCTCTGATGATTAGTGATGTTGAGCATTTCTTCATGTGTCTCTTGGTCATTTGTATGTCCTGTTTGGAGAGGTGTCTATTCAGCTCCTCTGCCCATTTTCTAATTGGGTTATTTGTCTTCCTTTTGTTGAGTTGTATTAGTACTCTATATATTTTGGAAATTAACCCCTTATCTGATGTGTCATTGACAATGATGTTCTCTCATACAGTGGGTTATGTGGCATGTATCTTCAAGATTATTGGAAGTAGTTCTTCCCAATTTCTTTATAGTGATAATTCAAAAGCCAAATCTACCTCAATCATACTATATTTCTTTAAAAAAATCATTCAGAATCACAATTATGTGTGCCCATTTTCAGTTTTGGAAAGCTAGTGGGGTCTTCCACATAACTTTCCATAAGAACGTATCAGAGAAATATCTTGAA